AACAAACAAAAAATAGGTTTACTAAATATGTTAATCCATCCTTTAACATAAGCCTCACCTTTCATTTTAAAGGTTTCCATAGAATTTAGTTATTTTATCTTTCAGCCATATGCTAGTTTTTGTTTTTTTTTGCCTCTTGCCAACATGCGTAAAAAGAGAAGCCAATTACAAGTGCAAATAATGTGGTATTCTTTTGTAACTCAAGTCTTGAAATGTTCTGTAGTGTTAAGCAAAGTTTCCTCTTGCTTGATACTAAATAAACTTTTTGAAAGAAATTTCGTGTGTGTGAGCTAACAGTTTCATGTTTTTCTTATTTAAAAAGACCTTCATAAATAGTTGTAAACAGGGAAAGAGTTCATTTAACAACGCTTGTCATAAAAGGGTCACACTAAACATTGTACAACTTATTTTAAAAATGGTATAAAATTAAATGTACCATTATATACTCACCATAGGTTTAAATGATGTTTAAAGAGTCCAAATGGTCATCAAGCAGCGTGAGTGGCACGTTAAAACTATGCAAAACCAAATCTTGTTTAAAAACTGGTTTTAAAATAACGACTGATTTTTCTGAAAAAAGATGTGATCAGTTTTCATCTTGTTGAGCGTTTTTTCACTAGTGCAACTTTGGATTTTTTATGAGAATTTTGGTACCTTAATGAACACCTCGCTCCATGCTGGAAGCAATAAGCACAAAGCTTTAAAAGACATTCTGACTTGACTAATTGAGGTCGCACTCGCCAAGGCTGAGGATGTGTAACCCTTAAACGGTCTTCATTTTCAAAGGTAAATAAATCAAATAAGATTTTAATCTCACTTAATTTATCTTAATATAACTAATAACACCAGGGAGATTACAACTTAGCAAGTGTCATTATCCATGTTAGAAAGGTTTTAAGATCACCTAAATTCTCATTTTAAAAAGTTTAATTTGTTTCAGTAATCTAAAAAGCCTTAGCTTAGTCAGTTTAATTGGGGCCAATTATTCCCTATTAAACAAATGTAAAACCTCATAACTAGTTGTTTGTAATACGTTATTTGGTTAGTGACTGAGGGCACTTCTTAAAACTGACAATGATTTAATAAAGTTATTCTTTAATCATTTGGCTTTAAGTTTTTTGTTTTTTTAAGTTGTAGATTATGGAAAATGTTTAATTTTTATTTCTTGAGGGAGTTCCTGCTGTTTGAGTAAACAGGTCTTTTCTTTTGTTAGGACATGTCAGCCATCTTGGAGAGCTGAAGGAGCTGGTAGTGCCCCTGGAGCAAACACAGGTAAGCATCGTGCCTTAGTGCCAATTATTTCGATGTGCTGTGGAAGATGAAGGCAATTTCATGCTTATCGAAAGTCTGGTGGAAAAACGTCCCATGCTGGTTCCTATTACCAGCAGTAGCGATTATGGCAAATTAACTCCTCCCGTCAGAAAAGAGGCTTCCTGCATGTAAACAAGTCAGACCAGTCAGCTTTGTTTAAGCTGCAGAGATGGGAGGCCCAGGTCATCACAATATTTAAATACTGGATTACGTTCTTCTATCAAAATCTTACAGTCCAATCAATAACATGAAAAAATTTTCCAAGTTATTAAGGAAAGAGCAGTGTACCAAAACTAAGGTGTATGTAATATGACCCCCATTTTATTTTTTTTTCAAAACAGACTGTATACTCTACCTTCATAGGCAAGAAATTACATGGGTATGCAGGAAATTTTTTACAGCAATTATCTTAGGCTTGTGGAAGTATGATTGTGTGTGTGTGTGTGTGTGTGTGTGTGTGTGTGTGTGAGAGAGAGAGAGAGAGAGATTTCCTATTCTTTCTGAAATTTGGGAAAACAAATTATTTTTATAAGATAAATATAAAATGTGTTTTATAAAATTATTTTATCCAATTTTTAAAAATCTAGGTATCTGTGAGAAAAAGGTATCATTCATTTAGTCTCACTTTTCAAATAGTTCCCCCTCCCCCCACCCCCAATACCATCAGAAACACTGCTTTGGCTATGACATCCCAGAATCTCACTTTTTTAAAGTACAGTAATACCTTGGTTCGTGAGCATAATTCGTTCCGGAAACAAACTACTCATATTGTAAGCCATCGTTCATTTACCAAGTTAAAATGTATTAGAAATGTTTGCTCATCTTGTGGAACACTCGCAAACCACGTTACCCGCAATCTAAGGTTTCACTGTATTTATACTTGAGCCCTACTCTTTACTGTGCGACGTGGGCGAGCCTCACTCCGCACATCAGCACGGTGAGAACGAAGCTTATCTCATGGAGTTGTTATGAAGAATTAAGTGGGATAATATTGCCAGAGTGTTTTGTAACCTGGAAAGTGAAACAATAATGTGAAGTTGAATTGTCAAAGTCAAATACGTATATTTAATATGTGTGGGAGATATGAGCTTTTCTTTTTTTCATAATAGCCAAGATGAGCCTGAAACATTGAAACTACCATTAGGAAGGAAATAGTTATCTTCACTGTCATAGATCAAAATTAGTTCATTGCCTTTTGTTTTTTTGGGTTTTTTTGGGGTTTTGGTTTTGCTTCTTTTCATGCACGGAAAGGGACTGTGACATTTAATATGTTTTTTTCAATGTGTGATGTTATATTGAAAATTTGCACTATATTCTTTCATAAGTAATTTTTTTTTAGGAGTTGGAATATCGAATAATAAATAAATGTAGGTTTCTTAAATCAGAAATTAAGGGTTGGTCCCTAAAAGGTCACCCACCTCCCAGGTGGTCTTCAGAGCTCATAGGAATTGTGCAATGTTATGTTTATTTTCATTTTTTAAAAGAATCTGTAGCTTCGTTGGACTATAAAAAGGGGTTATGAGTCAGAAAGTCCAGGAAGCACCAGGAACATTCTTGAACAAGCTTTCTCCTTCTCGGATCGCAGGGGCTTCCCTCAGTTGCCCTACACTCTACTGAGCCTCACGTTCCCCTGTTTCAACAGGAAGACCGCTGGGGACAAGCAGTCTTCTCCCGTCCCTACGAGCATATTGCGTCATTCCCAAACCTTTCCCTGGCCTGTGTCCGCCCCCCTTGAAATTCATATTTTCTCCCTTGATGACATTTCCTGAGCATGAGTTCTATGCTGGAGGCAGAAGAGGCAGTGGGAGTGCATAGATCTATAAGACACGGACCTTACATTCAAGTGAGTCAAACCTAACGGAGGTGATGAACTGACAAACAGGCACTGCTGCCCTGTTTCTTTGCCTCTGGAAACCTTGCCCACCTGCCAGGGCCTGGCCCAGTGCTGCCTTCCATGGTGTCCCCTCCAGTCAAGTCGAGCCACAGCCCCTCTGTGCTCTCTGCCATAGCATGCTAAGTGTATACTTCCTCATTTAGTATTGGGATTATATGACTTACCATGGTTACGAGTTGTCATTGTGACCAAGCATGCGCTTACCGTTTTCTATACATGACTTCATTGAATCCTCACAACTATAAGAAGGTAAGCGTCACCTCCATTGACAAAGGGCGACACTTAAGCTTTAAGAGGCGAAATCACTTAGGTGAGCTCACACACCTTGGAACTGGCAGAGCCAAGGTTGGAACCATCCACGTTCACCCAGCGTCTTTGGGGTTGAACGGTGTTCTGACTGATAACCCCCTTGGTCCCCCATTTGCCCCATCCCTGCCCCAGATTCCTTTCTGGTGAGTCTTTGACTGTATTTTGGTTCCGAATCTTATATTCAAGGCTCTGAGTTGAATCAGCATCAGTATTCATTCACGTACACTGACCGAGCATCAGCTGTGCTGCAGGCAGTGGAAATGCGTGATGAATGACAGTCTCATCTGTCCTTGAAGGCGCCACGGTCTCCTGGGGAAAATGGGCAGGGAAGGCACCGATAGGGCTCTGACAGACACAGATGCATGGAGGAGAGACGCATATGCCAGGCGGGGTGGTTAGAGGCAGCTGAAGGTGCCAGCAGGGCCATTAGGGTGAGCAGAAGATAACCACGTAGGGAGGGTGTTTTGGCAAGCATTCATATCCCAGCTCCGTCATTTACCAGCTCTGTAACCTTGGGTAAGTTACTCACCCTCGCTGAACTGTGGTCTGCACGGCAGAGTCCCCCATCCATGAAATGGGCACCATGACGATACCTCCCTCAGGATTGCTGTGAAGATTAGAAGCATACCTGGCACAAAGAGAAGTGTTTGCTCTTATTGGTTGCTTTATATAAATATTTGGAATTATAGGAAAACACGGTTGTGAAGAAGCTTCAGTTATATTAGATAATCCGGGACGGCAGGAGATGCTGCGTCTGGGTGGGCCAGGGTGTGGCATGGAGGCTCTGGGGGTCCTGCTAAGAAGCTGGAATACGGCGAGACCACTGACAAATGTAACACCCTCTTCCCCTTTAAGCTGGTCCTATCCCACCCTAACACACACAGTGCCTTTTTCAGTCTGTGTTTCAACAAGAGCTTCGCACAACCTCTGTTTGCACTGGTTATTGATCCAAAAGCCAGACAGCGAGTGCCTTACAATACAGGGGCTCTAACCTTTGCATTGTCTTGCCCCATCTCTTAGCTCAGTGTTTGGCAGGGGCAAGGCTTAGCAAGTCAATGAATATGAAAGAATGACATTGTCAGTGTGATCAATACAGCTCCTAATAGGCAGTGTTAGGAATAGTTAGCAGAGGCAAAAAAAAAAAAAAAAAAAGACCAAAATATGTCCTTTATTTAATAGGTTATACATGTGCTCGGTACAAAATCTAAACTTCCAAAAGAAAACACAATGCGATATTGGTCTAAATTCCCACCCCTGCCCCCAGACACCCACAGACAGCTGTTTGTATTGGTTTTGTACATATTTTTCTAGAAGTCGTCTATGCATAGGCAGGCCACAGACTATTAATTATTACTATTATGTTTTATTCTAATTATTACTACTTTTATTTACAAAACATTACACGGTTTTCCAGCCCCTTATTTCACGTTAGAGTATATCTTAGAGTTCATTATCTGTGTTCACTATAAATCTACCTTTTTATCGGCTGAGTAACATTTATATGAATGAACCATAATTTAAACAACTATTGACAGGCATGTGGTTTGCTTCCGATATTTTTCACTCATTAAAGACAGTGCTAGAAAGCATAGCCTGGCACCTCTCTTATTGTACACATTTGTATAAATATGTGTAGAATAAATTCGTAAAGTAGATTTATTGAGTCATTGCATTTTTCAATAGATATTACTATATTGTTCCCCACAGAGCTCATGGTGTCCCTTAACATGCTTTTCTAAGGAAAGTTGAACCCGAAATGCTGTATGCCTTCATTACTCTGTACAGTCGTTAGCACTTATGGCCCCACAGTAAACCTATCTGCTCAACGTGGGTTTAAAATGTCTTTAATACACAGTCTGGAGGCTGGCACGTGGCAGGCTACACCCCTACACAAATGCGTGAGGCAGCATGGGGGCGTGGGGTGCTGTACGGGACATCTCCAGGCGCTCGCCTGTGTCTTACAGGGACAGCTAAATGACATGAATCCCTTTAGTGTTCCTCTAACTCACATTAGCCTCCTCTCCCTGCTGGAGCCTGTCTGCATTAGCAGGTGTAGTGTGGGGCCGGCCCATCACTTGGCAGGAGGAACCAGCGTGAGGGGGATGGGCCCTGCCCTTGAGGAGTCCCTGGTCTCCGAGGAAACAGGACGCCAGCGGGCACTTCAGTCGACAGTGTCTGCCTGCCTTTTCCTCGTCTGTCCTCATCCAGAGCCTGCCAGCTCTTCAAAATCTCCGCTGTGTTCTTCTGCCAAAAGGACCTATTTTTCCCACTTTGAGAGTACTGGCTGATAGCACTCGATTGGCAAACGCCTAATTCTGAACTGTCCTGAACATCGTGTGGGCTGTCCTCCATCCCCCAGGCAGCTCCTGCAAGGTCAGGAATAAGTTCATCCCACTGTATAAACCTGAAAGCACTTGGGTTATCAACCCATTCAAGAAATAGTTCTTGACTAAAAAATGCCCTAATCCATGGATTTACTCGATTAGACGTTTACCTTTTTAAAGTATTTGCCTTTAAAATAACAGCTTGCGTCTGGTTCATCCCCGCACACTGATGCTTTGTGCAGGTGACACCGAGCCTCCCTGTCCTCGCCTTGTGCATAATACAAGGCTTGCTGAAGGACAGGTGGTGGACTGTCCCTGCAGGAGGGCCAGGAGGGAACAGTTTCACACAGAAGAAACCTGACCGGGGTTTAAAGTTACTGGGTCGTCGGGAAAGTCATGACGAATTTTTCTGTTTTTCAATGCAAAAATGCATCATGACTTTCCCGAAGACCCAGTAAGTCGAGATTTGAAGCAGGCAGGAGAAAAAAGTCAGATGTAACAGGCTGATTGATGCCGGTGGAGAGCCCGCATTGACCAAGGCACAAAAACTCATCATGTGTGTGGGGACATGTGAGCAGTTGCTGGGACATTAAGTGCAGATGGCTGGAGAGGCAGGAAGGGGCTAGGTCACAGGGAGATGCAAGTGACATGCCGATTGCTTCAGGTCGCACTTTGTGGCGTTGTCAGGTCCCCTAGGGCCAGGCATGTGTGACCAGAGCTGTGAGAAGTAAGCGTGGTGATGGCCACTTCACTGTGATTGGGTTTTGTTTTTCTTTTCCTTCTGATGGCCACTTGGGTTTAGAAAAACAGTTTTGTTGTATACGAGGTCTGACAGTTTAGTCCGAGAACTTGTTGCAACGATGTTGCTAACCTTTTTTTGATACCAGAGGGATTATTCATTATGAATTTGTACCAACTGGATAAACGGTTAACCAAGTTTACTATTTGAAAGTGCTGAAAAAGCTGCATGACAAAGTTAGACAAAAATGACCTGAACTTTTTACCAGCAATTCATGGCTCTTGCATCACGACAGTGTACCAGCTCACACGGCACTGTCTGTGAGGGAGTTTTTAGCCAGTAAACAAATAATGTATTGGAACACCCTCCCTACTCACCTGATCTGGCCTCCAATGACTTCTTTCTTTACCTGAAGATAAAGGACATATTGAAAGGAAGACATTTTTATGACATTCAGGACATCAAGGGTAATATGGCAACAGCTCTGATGGCCATTCCAGAAAGAGTTCCAAAATTGCTTTGAAGGGTGGACTAGGCACTGGCATCAGTGCATAGCTTCCCCAGGGGAGTACTTCAAAGGAGACCGTAGTGATATTCAGCAATGAGGTATGTAGCCCTTTTTCTAGGATGAGTTTACGAACTTAATTGTCTGGCCTCGTACAGCACATCAAAATGCATCGTTAGGTCTTAGTGAAAAAGATGTAAATCTATCCAGAAGCTGAGTCTCATCTCAGATGACAAGAATGCGAGGACTTGTGCCAGTGTGTATCCATTGGAACTCATTTCACGTTTCAATAGTAGAAGGTCCATGTAACACAAGGCATCACCATTCTGAAGTCAGACCAATTAATGCCATAATGGGCCCCTGTTTGACCATCAGACTATGTTAATCATTCGTCTGCCAAATACTTTATGTCCTTAATTTCTACAGTTCTCGTTTGCATTGTTTCCCATAAATATCCTTATTCCGATTAAACTTCCACTTGCCTGCTTCCTCTGCCTAAATCATGCCATTCCCAACAGAGCTTAAATATTAGTTTCTTGATGTGTACAAATATATTTCATTTTCCTCTTTTTCAGGAACTTGTCTCTAATTATGGACTGCTTAAGAATAGTCAACTCACCAACGTGCCTAGTCAGTAAATGAATTCACTTGGGAACTTGAAAATCATCTTCATTTTTTTTTTCCACAATTTTGTGCTCTGTGAAATATTTTATAAAACAGTATGCTTTTTAATTTGGAAAGTCCGTTATAAAAAAAAAAGGAAAGAAAATCAATCTTATTTTGTTGTCTCTAATAAAAAAAACCCAGTGCTTTGTGTATTACTTAATAAAGGCTGCCCCTTCAAATCTCTTCTATTTTACTATTAACCAAGGAAAACAAAGTCCGATGATTGCAGCACAGCTCTACATTTGCACACTCGATAAGCGTGCATGGCCACAACTCACTGCAGGAAGTCAAGAGTCTGCACATATTCTGGATTTGAGAATGATTTATCCATCTCGGTTATGGACCAATACATAAGGAAGCGTCATGCCAAGTATCCTTGCATGTGCAAGGTTAATTATAAAGGTTGCTGTGGGGAGCAGAGTGGTACAGCCAGAAGAGGAAGTTGGGTTTCATGCCTCCGTTATGGAACTGAGAGGTCATAATCCCGGTGGACAGTGTGATTATTATGTTCACTCTCTTTGCATCGTTTACTGGAGCATTGTGATTCTAATTCAGTACACCCCGGGAGGATGTGTTGTATCCCTTCTGCAAGGAATATGTTTCCTCGAATTTCAAGAACAGTCTCGTGCATTGTTAAATTGTCCCTTTTTTACCTGAAAGGCATAGTTCCTCCAGGCACCTGCCTTCTGCAGTGTATGTGGTGGGAGCAATGCGTTAAGCACAGAACAGCTTCTAATAGGTTCGCTTTTCCTCACACTCCCGCAATACATCCTGAAAACCTTGTTTTCTACTCCTGCAGTCTGTACCTTTATGTTTGTCACACACACAGCTCTCCATCTCAGGGGTGCAGGGAACAAAACCTGTGTGTTGGGGAGAGGGCGGAAGGGCAGTGCCCTGAACCGGCGGGGGGAGAGGGAGGGTGTGAGCGCAGAGCCTGTGGCGCACAGGTGCACGAAGTTGGGTGCAGCTGAGGTCAGCTCAGTGTGCCCTTGTGTTTGGAATTCATTTTAAACAAATAGGGATTCTCAAACATACTCACACCCAGATCGTTGTAAAAGGAAGAGAATTTGAGTTCCCGTTTTGCTTACAGCCTTTTCAGTGTCATAAGCCTGGAGGTAAAATGCCATAGATCCCAACTTGGCAACTCGTCTGTCTGACCCCTTCTCCTGATCCCGACCTCACTACCTTAACAGTGACTGAATCTATTAAACGCATTAATGGAGACTCTTAGATGGTGGGCGCTGTCCTAAGTACTCTGGAGTGAGCCCAGGACAAAGCAGAGGGAGTCCCTGCTTCCAGGAGCTTGCATTCCTGTGGGAGGAGACACACCATCATCCAGGAAACCCACCTGTCCCTGACCCTCAAGGCACACTTCATCTTAGGCCACTGTATTCCCAGCCCAGCCCACGGCCAGGCCCAGAGCAAGCACACAGTGATGTCTACACGGTAACACCTCGGGTTTGGGGATAAAGCAAAGAGAGGACGTTGTTAAGACAACTGAACAGAAATGCAACTTTCCTTTTCTCCGGCTCAGCTCGCTTTGGTCCCTCTCAGACTTCCGGGTTCCTCCTTGATTTCTGTCTTGTTAGCAGCAGCTTTTCAAGCACGTCAGGCTGAGATAACCATTCTAGTGTTTGATTTTAAAGGCTCTGAACGACTTCCTGTGGTTTTAAAAATAACAGCTGATGGCTTTTCCAATGTGTGTTTAACTCTATTAGAAGACCCGAAAGCCGCTTTTTAAAGGGATGTCTTTGTGGAGTTGTCAAAATGACGGTCATTACCGTGCTGAAAGGTATTCTACTTTCTGGTAATCTGAGGATCCTACCCTTCAGCGTGGCTAAAATCTGACAGTGACCCAGACTGGGTGCTTTTGCATCGATCGGTTGCAAGCTCTGGCAAAATGATGACACTCACAGTTCCTTGTCTGTGTTCCTGCTCGGTGGGGACTTGCAGAGTTTTCACTCACTGCCCACCCTTCCCTGGCCATCTAGTTCTGACCGACGCCCAGCTCTGTGCCCACCTAACTGCCTTTAGATGGCTCCCAGAAGTACGTGTTGGCACGTCCCACACAGCCTGCCCACGTGGCTGTTCCCATTGCTCTGCCCTTGCCCCCGATGGCGCCTTATTTTGGCCCAAGGACTTAATAGCACAGCTCTCAGAGCGCAGCCTCTAGCCCAGCGGTTCTCAACCTGCGGGTCGCGACCCCTTTGGGGGTCGAACGACCCTTTCACAGGGGTCGCCTAAGACCATCGGAAAATAAAAAGATATTTACATTACGATTCATAACAGTAGCAAAATTACAGTTATAGAGTAGCAACGAAAATAATTTTATGGTTGGGGGTCACCACCACATGAGGAACTACATGAAGGGGTCGCGGCATCAGGAAGGTTGAGAACCGCTGCTCTAGAATCAGAGCCACGCTAACGAGAGTGGGTCCCTCCATGGATTTGCTAGCACTTGCTGCATAACCGACGGTCCCAGAGCTTGGCAGATTGAAAGGACAGACATCTGATGTCATACCTTTCCTGAGGGTTAGGCATCTGGACGACTTCTGGCTCACAGTGTCCCACGAGGGTGCTGTCTGTCAGCTTCCGACATCTCAGGGCTCCCACCGGGCTGGGGAATCCACTCACAGATGCATTCACGGGGCCATTGGCCAGGGGTCTCCATAGGCTGCCCGAGCGTCCTCACAGCGTGACAGCTGGCCTCCCCCAGAGCAAGCGTCCCAGAGGGAGAGGCCGTGAGTGAGAGAGCACACGTGAGATGGAGCCATAGACTCCTGCCCGAGTTCTAGAAGGAAGCCCGTCGCTTCCTCCAGGTACTGGTCCAACCCCAGCCCTGGGACAGTGTGGAAGGCGGCGACACAGGGTGTGAGTTCCAGGAAGCAGGGATCTCGTGGGCCATCTTGGAGGCTGGTTCCCGGAACATGTTGGGGGTGACAAGCAAAGAGGCTTATGTGGGAAAAGTAGAACCTTGGCTCCCTGCCTGGCCTGGATGCACCAAAGGGGCCGCAGAGAGACCGGACTCAGAGACCCACGAGTGGCATCAGACCAGCCACGGCCTGGACGGTCCCAGAGGAGTCATTTTGCCACTGAACCCACTTCATAGTGCCTACAGTGGGATGTTTCCAGAACACAGTAGGTCCTCAGGACGCGGTTATTGTCACTGGGAGGAAGTGGGCGAAGCTGTGAGGGGGGGGGTAAGCTCAAGACCCTCAGAGTAATTCAGGTCCAGACACTGCTGTGCTCAGCCCCCCCCGCCCAAACCTGACTGCACATTCCAGGCAGTCATCTCACCAGGCAGGTGCTGTCTTCTCTGTGAGGGGGGGCCACAGCTGCACAGTGGAGCAAGCCACAGAGCGGAGCCACCTGGGGGACGGGGAGGCTGGCTTCCCAGGAGAGGGACCGGAAGATTGTCACTTCGAGATGCCAGGACACATGACACTTATCTCCAGAGATGATGCCCGTTATGGACCTGATGGGCATGCAGTGTGGACAAACCCCCCCACCCGAGACAGACTGCCACTCCTCTGAGCTCTACCGCCCCCTGGCTTTGTGGTTTGGGGACAATCTCACAATGCAATGTGCCTCAACTTCTTCAGCTGACAAACCGGAGTGACAGCACCAGCCTCGTGGGGTTTGTTGAAAGAATCACAGGGACGCTTGGGTAGAGCTGGCCCAGGTCCCTGCAGGAGCAGGCTGGCTGAGTTGGGGACCAGGGAGAAGGAGGTGCTGCCCCACCTCACAGGGCCTGTGGGCGGTGGGGGCAGGGGCTGGCTGGAGGCAAAAAGAAGGAAAGCGGGAGCTGCCACAGCCCTCCCGGGACTGGTGCAGACACTCATCTGCTCTGTAATAACTTGCTATTTTTAGATGGCAGCACTCTGTGACCTGCTTTGTAAATAGATGCCTGACTGCCCAGATCAGGGCCATCCTGGGGGCGGGGAGAGGGGCACCAGGGCTGGCCTCCCTGTCTCCACAACCCGGTCTTGAGCACAGAGCTGCTAGAAAACCAGTCAGCTGGGGGGAGTTATGGAATGGTGCCCCAGGCTTTGCCCCCTTTTCTGGGACTGTTTCCAGGGTATTCACTGCACAATAGTTGTTTGCCTGGTTTTATTAAAATTGCAGTAAATGCAACCAGAAAAACAAGGAAGAGGGATATGCTGGTCTCAGCCAGTCCAGCATGATAAAAAGGGTCACACCAAGTCCAGAGGGAAGGGAAGGGACCTGTGGCCACTCTGTGGCCACTTCCTGCAGGACAGGTGCTGTGCTGGGCCCTGGGACAGTGATGTACACTCCAATACTCAATGTCCCCGCTGGACCCCTGAGGGACCTGACCCACCCAGATGCCGACCTGCGTGAGACCTGGGCAGGTGAGGGCCACACCTGGAACTGCAGGCCTCTCTGACTCCACCTCGCAGGTCCCCTCCTCCTGCCATCTGGCTCTCACTGATGACAAGTGAGGGGCACTGACACATGCCACCTCTAGGTCAAGGTGCTTAAGGACAGATGTGCCTTTTCTGCCCTAGAAGGGGACGGGGAAGGTGGGGTCAGTTGGGGTTGGTTCCACCCCTCCCTGCAGGGACCAGGGACGCCCGTGTACCCCCCCCCCGTGTCCCATTTTCCCTCTTGCTCCATGTCCGCACCTTTTAACAACACAAGTCGCTGAACCTCTCCAGCCTCAGTTCCCGCGTTGCAAATCTCAAAAACACGGACACTGTCAGCGCCCCATCTGTTGTCCCCTCAGCCACCAGGGCTCACAAGGGCTCCTGTGAACTACCCCCTTACACGTGGGCGGCCTCCTACCTTTAGGACCAAGGCTCTTTGTAACACAGGTGTGTGGCCACGCAGCTGATACCCCAAGAGCAATCCTCAGACAATGAGGGGTGGCATGTGCCGGGTAAACTCACCAACAGCCCTGCCTCCAGGTATGAAAATTCAGAGGTGTGTTTTACCCAGTTTCTCACAGGGACCTCAGCGGGACTGCGCCCCAGCTGCCCTTGACAGTGACTGCTCATTAACACACCCTCCCTTCTCGCACTCCCCCATTCTTTCACTGTGTTTCAGGGCC